TCAACTAACTTTACTTGAATGGGAAGACTATTTGTGCAGCAGCTATCTCCCCACTTATTACACGTTTGGGTACTTGAGTTTGGTACTCTGTTTTTATCTTCTTATTTTAGTGTTTGGCCTTAATTAATTATATATTTATCATCTTCCACTTCATAGCATTTGTAGAAATCCCCCCACTTAAATATTTGTTTTTAATTAATATTATTTGTATCATATTTACGAACCACTTTTAAAAAAAAGTTACAATTCCTAACATGTATATATACCTTTTTTTTTTTCTTTAGTGTACAATATGCATATATTTTGCTAGAATGTGGCTTTGAGTTATCCATCATTACACATTTTTTTCTACCATGGAAAATCTGCCTGTCTCAAACTCCTTGAAACATCAAATCCAGAACCTTAGCCTCGCCTTAAAGGAAGCATTAATGAATAAACTGAGCTGTTAAGCCAAATTAATGGGGAATATTTTGTTTGGTGGAGACAGAACCCAGTTGCTCATATGTGCATCTGCCAATTATTTACCAAGTTGAAATTAGAAAGACTCGCAACCTGCCCACGTATCATGCAATGTCTAATATTAGAAGGAATTGGGTTGGTTGAATCTGAAGAAGTTAGTAAGTTACAAGTAGCTGTAGAGGTACGATTTGGAAACCCATGTCAAGGAGCTCTACACTGTTCAAACTGCGCTGCAATTTCGGATTGCAAGACAATGTCAATCTATTCACAACTAATCACCAATTTTTTTAAAAAAATTACAGTGCGATACTGGAATACAACCACTCGACATAATTTTTGGATGTGTTAAAATATGAGTGGGGTACAGGGTTTAGATTTTCCACTTTTTAAGGTATACTAGTATTTGATATATATACTTTATTTTATAGAGAGTCAATAAATACAAAGTAAAAAAAGTTAACAATGGTTACGTGTCGAGTATTAAAACGAGTGGTGAGGATACATCTTGTGTTCAAGTGGTAAGTAAAAATATTTCATATTTTATAACACGTGAACGAATTACACCAAATAAAGTTTCTAAAAGTAATTTTTTTTTCTTTTTGGTGATAGATGGGGGGGTTAAACGCCTCAAACAACAAAGAAAGTTAAACAACAAGAATCAAACGGGATCTAGCGATTCCCGGTAGATCATCAAGAAGGATGTTTCCCATCCAGGTAGGGGTCTCGAGGATGCAACTTCCCAAAGCTAAGTTATAACTCCAATTAGCAAGTGCATCTGCAGCATAATTCATTTCTTTATTTTTATTTATTCCCTAAATTCCATTGTTTGACCTGGTCTTAATTAAACTCAAAACGCAAAGTAGAAATTCGAAAGAAAAAATATATATATTTATTTTATAATATAATATATATACCAAGTCTTTTAAGCAATTTCAAGTTTGACGGCTGTGAACTTGTGGCACCCTTCTTATGCCGCGCCTTCCTTAATTAAAAGAAAGCAAAATTTTAAAATTTGTAGTGTACAAAGCAATAGCATTAGCGGAGGCACGGTGGCCACTTGCTAGCATTGTGAATGAGGCAAAAGATAAAGAAGAATAATAGGACATTGGTGGATGTGGACCCAACTACACTTGACAGACCATGTGATCTCAGCCTTCCAGTTGGGCGGACATGATTGTGTTTCAAAACTTTGTAGTTAAATACAAGTCACAAACATTTTATTAGATAAAGCTTTGTTCTGTTTTCTTGTGTATAATAATAAGTTAGAGAAAGCAATAATTATTCCGTAGTATTTTTTATTCTTCTTAAAAAACATGAAACATGAAAATACAAGGCGTTAGTTGGGTTGGCATAGTTGACAGGTCTTTGGTGCCTCCTAAGTATGGTTTCAGGTTCAAGTCTCTATAGTACCCGTGTGTGTGAGTTTCCCACATCCCCTTCTTAACAAGATCAAGAAAGCAATATTATATTTATTCGTCTAAATTAAATAATAAATAACCAAAAGATATATTCTAAGTGTATAAATTAATTTGGTTACCTAGGACAACTATATTGTTCAACAAACCTGAGATGGTGAAGCATAAAGTGTCAAGATGCTATAAATGAATGAGGCCAGCCACTTCAGCTAATGTTTGGTGCGCTGACTTTTCATCAGTAAAAGGGTGAAATAGTTAAGCTACCATAGAACCATACTTGCTTATTCATCAAATAACTCAAAACTGCTCTTATTTAACAAATTATGTTAAAACACATCTACTTCATTTTAAAGAGACAAATACGTATAAAATAAATAAATAAATATAATAATTGAAAAAATAATAATAATAAGACTTCGTGTCTAAAAAATTCTATATACATGTAAGAATAACATAATTTAAAAATAAAATTAAGAAAAACCTATTGACATGTGTGTCGACATACTAATCAATGAAAGTACTTATGTCTTAACATATAAACAGGAGAATTATATCAAATTGGGTGCAAGTCAACTGAAAAATTTGTTGAAGCCTAATAAGAATGCAAATAAAGATGTGGAGGATAGTGCATAATATGTCTGGAATGTTTACTAATGAAAATAAGAATTTTAAGTCAATTTTTCATAAGTTGGTTTCCCTTTTAACATGGTGGTGGTACAGTCATGTACAAAAATTTCTCCTTAAGAGCATCCACAATAGGCTCCCTAAATCACCTCCTTAGACAAATTTTAAGGAGGCATAGTAAAAATGCAACTCTAATCACGCTCCTCATCCACCTCCTAAAATAGGGAGTCATCTATGAGCTCCTAAATCTGAGGAGAGAGAAGGGATTCCTACTGGCTCCCTATAATTTAATGCTGCTTTATTTAATGAGTATTTCAAACCTTGATTTAATGCTAATTATTTTTTATTTTATTTTTTAATAGAAATTGACCAATAAAAAAAGAGTTATAGCATTTATGACTCTCCAAATTAGAGAGTATGGTTGGAGTTAAAATTTTTTAGAGAGCTCCTAAAATAGCTTTCTTATATTCTTAGCCAAATTTTAGCTACGAAATAGAGAGCATTATTGTGGATGCTCTAATTAAGCTTGAGTTATAGTTTAAAACATAATCAATGAAAGGAGCTTATAACTCAAGTAGTTAAAAATAGTTAATGCACTTTAACACTTTTCTTAATTACAAAAAGAGGTGCCACACATGTATACCTGAGTCAATCTCTACTTTTTCAAGAAAAATAAAGTCTGACGGTCAAGATTAAATTGTGGTCGTTGTCAGATTGTAAATAGAGTGTAATAAAAATTCGTTTAATGACATGATTACAGAAGAGAAAATTGAAGCAGATATTTAAAAGTATATATGGTGGTTGGCAAAGATGAGGAAAAAACAAGTGATGGATCATATTACGTTTGTATGGAGTTGACATTAGCAGTGTCATAGAACAACCTAACTCGCCTGAAAAGGCATAAGTGAGATACAGATTAGATAACCACTATCCTTGCTTTGTAAGTTTTTATATATATATATATTTGTTTTAGAGTGGCTTTTAAGCAAACCAATGATTTTCTTTGATGTGGCCGTAAGTTAGCCATCAGCTGGGGTTTCTACAACCTTTGTCTATGTTCCAACTGTCAAGTAGGTGGAAGTTAATAATAAAAAGTAAATTTATGTCTCTTTGCAAAATGTTACCATTTTAAGCGATATTTGAAGAGACTGAATGATTTGATATAGAGGTAAAAATTCTTAACCAATTAAGATATTTCGCGGAATAAATATATGTTTTTATTAACTGCTTTCTATAGTGAAGGGACTCGTCGTAGAAAGCAGTTAATCAATTATGGATGATCTAATCTACAAGTACAAAAATAATTATACTTAATGTGAAAAACAGAAGGACTTCTTCGATGTAGGTCCAATTTTGTTAAGATATAATGGATGCAGGACATCAATATTAACTTCTCAATAGAAATTCTTCAAGCTAGCGTGTAGACAAATAAGCAATTGATATGTCTTTCATTTTTAACATATTTACTTCCAGTACCATTAAATAGAAAAGGAAAACAAAGCAACACATCCCAGCAATCATGACAACTCCTACAATCATGCTCATTCCCAAGCTCTACAAATTTCTTGCATCAGAGTAATGGAGAGTTTTTTTTTTTTTTTTTAGTATACAAATTATAGGAACCTGGTGGAAACCACCTACCTGTTGCCTAGGTAGCATTACCGTTGTAAGCTTAAAACGTGAAAAAATATCCTTGCAAGAATTGCTCTCAGAAGAAAGACTTGAACTTGGAAAAAAGTACCCAAAAAGCCAAAAACAAGTGAAACACATGCCATGATCGAAAAAGTTACGATTTTTCCAACCACAAGGCTCAAAAGCCTATCATGAGAAAAGGGTCGTCATAAACACCTACAAGGCATTTTCATATCATTCCTATGACAAGTGTTTTCTACCCATAAAAATACCTATATAAAATATATACCTAGGGCTGGGGATGAGTCATATTATACCAGTAGCACATGTGTATCTCGTTATACCTGCCGAATAGGTAGCTGATTCATATTGTACCTATACCATGGATGAGTTATATATTGTACCAAAGTAGAATGAGATACATGTTGATTAGGTAGCTCATGTTATAACCATACAATAGATAATTCATATGTACCAATACGACGTATTAGCCATGGTAAAGATAGGACGATTCAAGTCATAGGGGGCATCATTGGAACAAGAAATGATTTTATAAATTAAAAACTAAAAAGATTACATCAGATAATATTGAAAAAGGACTGTAATTATATGTGACAAAAGAGCAAAATAACTTGGATCAAAGTCACCAAATTTAAGGATTAAACCCAACTCCTTAATGCGAATTTGGATCTGTATTAACTTTTTTAAAAACAAAATTCCCACATAATATATTTCATTCAGTTACAGTTTAAAAAAAATATATATATACACAAAAATGACACTCTGAAATGGAATGTGTCTCGTACGAAAAATGGCAATAGTCCACCCTTGTGTCGATCAGTTGCATATATATAATTATATACAACAACAAAAATTGAATCATTCGTTAGCATTTAGAATTTAGAGACCATAATATTTCCCATAAAACTTGTACACCAACCAATAATGCTACACCATCAAAAAATATTTAATTTTCTGGGAAAGATATACCAGAGAGAGGAAAGCTGAAAATTATTTTAGGGAAAAGCTGAAAAGTAATTAATCCTCCTCAGCCAAAACCATTCTACAAAGAGGACTAGGCCCAAGCCTCTTCCTCCTCATCACACTTCTTCTCCTTATGACTTCCATTTGATTTCTCCTTCTAACCTGCATCATTGCTTCTTCTTCCACCACAAACCTTCTCATCAAAACGTCGTCGGTCAGCGACTTTCCCCGAAACACTCTTCTAATTCCTGGATGATCAGTGCTAAGCCGTGCTTGCGCAATGCTGGCACTAGAAGTAGTTGTTGTGCCCAATGGCTTGGAATAGGACCCCATTCTTGGGTAGCTGTTGCTTCTTCTTGGGGGAAGCTCAGCCCTAAAAACCTCATTGTAGGAAGATATTGGTGCACAAAGACACACCCTTGTAAATGACGTGGCAACCTTTAGAGAGGTACATTTTCTCAGTTTGTGCCTAACATTATTGGAATTGGAATTGGAATTGGAGTTGGAATTTGGTGCAGGAAAATTATTAGGGTTTGTGCCGGGACTGCTTTTGGCATTGACTAGGGTTTTCCATAGCGTGGAATTTGCTGCTGGAACTTGTGTGGACTTTGAATTGTTATTGTTGATGCTTCTCCATAGACTGCCCACGCCCATCTCTCTTGCTCTTTGATACCAAGGCTTATTATTCCTAAGCAAAAACAAGTGCATGTCAACAATAATGACGTCATGGCTCTGCTTCTGCTTTTCTATTACATGCTTCAAGAAATCATAAGGATAATAATTACGCACAAATGGAGCCAGTGTGATGTACATATTTTGAAGAAGATCGGTTGAACTTGGATTCTAATTTCCTCTTGCAGACTACTTAATTTTATTTATACCCAATTTAATTCTAATGTTGTCGAAGACAACTGCCCATTTGCTAAGTTTGGGGTTTTTTTCAAAGATGAAATTGCTAAGTTTGGATTGAAAGTTGGAACCTACTTATCTTTGACGTATTCAGCGAGCATTGATTGTATAAATATGTTTATAGGTTTAACGAATGGAACCAGGGGAGTCGCTTATTTGTCGTAACAGATAAGTACATGGGCTAAGTAAAAGTCTTAAAATTTCAAAGGTCAAATCTTAGACTCTCTAAGCATTACGAATTTACCTGGCCCCGGTCAAGCATGATGAATATACTCAACTATTATGGGAAGGACAATTCAAACGTGGGTGTAAGGAGGATGGACTCACTACTTTCGCCAATTGGCTTAATTCAAGTCTGCAGTTATATTGTTATATAACCAATTTGCCACTATTAACAATTAATAGTATGAAGTCTATCAAAGCATTACTTATGGTCATACTCCTTAACGTTTTCTTTTTTGCATATTTCTAGATATAATTGAAAAAGTAAACAAATTTTGTTTACAATACCTCCACAAACTGAACATGTGAAATAAAATAAATACATATCAAAATAGGAAATAAATTTTCCATGTTCGACCCCATAGAGAAAGACATGGAAATTGGTTTCCCATGAATTCATTTCAACGAACCAAACACCTCCTAACGACAAAAAGGATGATTGTGTTAAATATAGCATATTATATTTAAGGGGTTTTGTTTTGAACACCACACCATTGTGGGCTCCTGGCAAGTTATTGGGTTTTGAATTAGTACAGCCCAAACCCAACAAGGCCTAAGTCCTAGGCAAATCATCTACTGGGCCTAAAATTCAAAGCAGTACTGAGCTTTTCTCTCTTCTTCTTTTTTTCTCGCTCCTTTTTTTGTTTTTGTTTTTGTTTTTTTTGTTACCACATTTCCAAGAGAAGACTGGAATTTCATAAGAGAAGGTGTTCTTAAGCTTGACAATGATCTCAAACTTACAGGAAAGCCTGTCACAGCATAATCTTAGCTGGCTTTAATAATCTCAAACTTAGCGGCCGGTTGATATAAATAAAAGGAGCAATTTAACCCACTTTTTTGCATCAACACACACACACACACACACATATATATATATATATATTCTGAACTCAATATTGAATTGTTCCATATATGCAAGTGTATAGAATGATGGGATATATCCATATATATATATATTGTGTAAAGTAAATATATATAATTGAACACAGAGAGAGAGTGGAGTGAGTGTGTGTGTGTGTGTTAGTTTTGCGTACCTTGCTTGTGACTTCTTTGGATCTTGCATGAACAAATCCAGGTGAAGTATGAGTGGGATGAGAAGAGAGGTGAAGAAAGAGGAGGAGGAAGTTTCATTTGGGTTGAGAGGAACGAGGAGCCTTTTGCTGCAACTTCTGACTCAAAGATGGGGATGGGGTTGGCAATGTGCTTCTTTTCTTTTTCTCCATTCTTTATTTATTACAATTTACAACCCAACCCCCCTTCTTTTTCTTTGGCACTTGGCATGCGCGATTCCTCTTCATTTTCACACAAAGAATAAAAACAGAGCAAGAGAGAGAGTTTCAAAATTCAAAGGCAAAGTCATTGTTGCTTTTTGTTGCAATTACCAAAGTGCCCTTAACAACTTTTGCGCAAACAACTTTTCTCGAACTACTTGCTTTTTAAGCAGCCTAGTTATCACAATTGGTCAAGGCAGTAAATTCGTCGTATTTTATCCGAGTTTGAGTCTCCTTTCCTATAAATTGAATTAATTTAGACTATCGCTTGTAAAATAAAAATAAAAATAAAATACCCTTGCTTTCTAGGGCATAGAATAGAAAAGTATCTATCTACCTAAACGCTGGTCAGTCATCATGGTTACTTGCTAATATCTATGATTGTTAGCATGGAGGATAGTTAGAGCATGAATATGTTTAAACATGCCTGGCCTGCCTTTGTGACACATGAATCATAGAGGATCAAAGCATACCTCTTCTAGCATGCCTCATGCTTTCAGGTTAATATATATATGCATCACTCAACCCTACCAAAAACCTTTTGATATTATTAAATTATTAATTACTTTACATGTTATTAATTACTATAGTTGGAGCTCATAATTACTTTAGATATTATTAATTACTATAGTTGGAGCTCATAATAGTACTATGCAATTGGTATTTTTTTTTTCAAAGAAAATCCTCAACTGAATCCTAATTTTAGTTGTATATATATATATATATATATCTCTCTCTCTTTTTTTTCCCTAAAAAAAAAATTTGTATGTCTGTTTAGAGAGAGAGAGAGAGAGAGCAAAATGATCCAATGTGAGGGGCATACTTTTATTATCCAGAGTGTTGATAAATAATTTGCCAATGGATGGCATCATGATTCATTTGTGGGTGGTGTTATATCCAGAACCCAAAAGCTGCTGCATAGAGAAAAAGACATGATGATTGGAGATGTTGGATTTGGGATTTGCCCCCATTTGATTACTATTAAATCGTCTGTTAATATCAATGTTCAATGAATTTTAGGGAAAATATATATATGTAAGGAGGAAAAAAAAAAGGCAAACCGTAAGCCTCCTCACATAAGCCACTACTCTAGTCATTTTAAACCCAATCTCCAATTTATCAGTTGGGGACAATTAAAGGTTGGGGTTTTTTTTAATTCTAATGATCTCTTAACTTATACGATAGTTTTATTTTGGTCCTCCAATTCAGTTTTAAATTTTTGACATTGTTCATTTGTGTCACTCGGATAGCTCCAACCTACTTTACAAAACTGGGTTTTTTTCTTCTCTTTATTTTTTATTTTTTAATACATATGGTATTGGGGAGAGGGAATCGAACCAAAAACCTCAGGTACATGAATAAATACTTTTAACTATTTGAGCTATAAGCCCTTGTTACAAAATTGAGTTCAGTATTTATAAATTGCAATCCTATTCCTAACTCGTACACATGACATATATGTGTTCATACTTCATATTCTCATGACAATGCTTGAGTAGTAGATTTTTAGAGCTCGAAATCAGCAGTCTAGAGGTTTTTAGTAAGAACTCGGTAGGCAAAAGAGTAAATAATTTGAGAAATGCTTTTTTCTGGGGTCAAAAGTGTCCAGGGTGGTTTCAATCATCTTTTGCTTTTGTACATTCATGATGCAGACCACGGAAATCATTTTGTCCACTTTGGAGTTTGGACTGGAATGAAGAGCTTACTATAAAAGGGGAAATGGACAGTGGTCATACGGTGATGGAATTTGCTGAATTTAAAGTCAAAATATGTGTAACGACCAAACAATATTAATGCTGCATAGACTAGTCGTCTGCCAAGAGGAGGATTGAGGGGAGAATGCATTCCAACGATCACCACGACGGGAGCTATTGCGGTTCCAGCCACCATTGCGGCCATTGCGGCCATTACCGCGGGAGACATGAGGGGTCTGGGCGAGGCCCGCCCGATGGCAGTAATAAGCATAGCATAGTCGGGACCCAAGCCACGAAGAATGGCAGTGACCAAATCATCGTTGGAGACAGGTTGGTTGATGGAGGCAAGGGAGTCAGCAAGAGATTTGGCCTGGTTGAGGTATTGGTCAACGGATTTGGTGCCTTTTGTCATATCAAGGAGTTGGAAGCGAAGATTGGCAGCACTAGCAATGGACTTTTGGGCAAAGTGAGTTTGCAAACAATCCCAAATTTCTTTGGAAGTGTCGTAACCGACAGTGAGAGCGAGGACTGGTTCGGAAAGTGTAGAGGTGAGGTAACTAACGATAAGCTGGTCTTGTTTGTACCAGACAAGGAAAGCAGGATTGGGTTGAGTGCGAGTGGTGGCTGTAACAGAAGAGGAATTAGGAGGGTCAGAGGAGTTGGTGGTGTCAGTGGCAGCAGGGGGAGGATTAGACCCATCAATATATTGCCACAGGTCATGGCCGACAAGGAAAGGCTTGATTTGGCGAAGCCAAAGCAAGTAGTTGGATTCAGAAAGTTTGATGAAATGGGTAGTGTTTGGGCCCAAAGGGGAGGGAGAGGAGGATGAGTTGATGGTGGCGGCCATGGAGGATCAAAGAAAAGAGGTGACTTCGTTTGAAGGAGAGAAGGGCTGATACCATGTAAAGAATGTGATTCTATTGATTGATATTCGGATACAATTGTACAATATATATATAGAATACAGTTGACTTTTGATGGAACTATTTTGGTAAATACAAAAGGCTATTAACCGTAGCAAATCAATTGGAGATCATGATATCAATCAGCATCATTTAGAGATTCATCAGTGGAGGAAATAATGGCTTTGATTGCTGGATTGACAGATAGAAACTAGTATCCAGGTAGTGAGATCTGAATCTATGTCTTCGAATTGAATTGGAAAATTTTAATTAAATTGGACTACGGTCTTGTTCGATATGTACTAAGATTCGCCAAATTACATTGGAGAAATGTCTTGTCCGATGTTTACTAGAACTTACCTACTTAAATTGGACAATAATATTGTGTCTTATAAGTTTTATTTTGTGTCTCCCAAGAAGTTTGTGCTCATTGGGAAATGCAAGAAAACTGGGCACATGGATTGGCTCTGTTTTGGAAGTCGAAATCGTTGAAGAAGTGGGTTTTAGAGGATTTTTAAGAATGTGCATTGACATTGATGCATCAAGACCTCTTCCCCCCAGTTTATCTATGCCTTGTCAAGTTAATGTGCGAAGGAAAATTCGGCTGGGTTATGAAGGCTTAAAAGACTTTTGCATGAAATGTGGTAGATTGGGACACTCCAGAGGCTGCCTTTTGAATCCCAATCCAAGATTGGAGATGGATGGTTTGAAATATTATGATGGAATGTGAGCTTCGCCGATTTCGAAAAGGTCCACCTTCCTCTTTAAACCTGTTTATATCAAAATGAACAACCTATGAGAACCAGACATGTGGACAGGATTGAGCCTGACCATGGTAGCCCTCGGCACCTGGCCTACTGATTCATCGATTAGGGCCACCTCATTCTCCAGGACACGTGGCAAGCCCACAATCAATGTCTACATTCTCACATCGAAAATCTACTCAACTAGCACACCTCCCAAGGCTTATAAAAGGAGTACAATTCCCCAAAATGGAGGTCATCAGAACTTATGGCATACTGCCTATTGATCTGTCAGTTTAATCTTACCAACTCCGTACTTACTTAAACATCGGAGAGCCTTCGGCCGGTACCACACTGGTGCCTAAAGACTTACCAAGCGTGTGTTATTTTACAGATCACGTGCTCTACCAAGGCCCAAAGGCATACTGAAGGCCTAACATCACTAAGTTGGCCTCAAAAACTGCCGAACCATTTTTGAGCGTCAACAGTTTGGTGCCGTCTATGGGAAACGAACAAAATCGACCCATTTTCTCCAGAACACATGGGGATCACTTCAGTACCAACGTTCTTGTCGGAAGACGGATTACCGTTCGGTAGGCAGAGTGGAGCTAGCCCAGCGTTGCCCCCGAGTACTCTATTCGGCAATTCACCCATTATGCAACTCACAGCTGAGGCAGAGCTTCTGGCCCAAATCACTTCCCTTCGGAAGGACATGGCTAAACTCCAAGAACATAACAACCTTCTCTCGTCCAAAGTATACGAAACCCATCAGTTGCTCAATCAACAACATACGCAAAATATCCAAACCACTCAATCTTCCCAGAGCCTGCAGACTCCTAATCGTAAGAAGAAGGGTAAGAAGGTAGCAAAGGCAACGCCTGCACCCTCCAAGCAGTTAGTAGTTTCGGCACCCAAGGATCAATCGCACGTACCGAAAAAGGTTTACTCTGATTGTCGCCATCAGCTTAACGACAAGGAGGTTGAAAGGTAGAGGTCTCCAATCAGGATCAATGCAAGGTTGAGAGATCACGGATGAGGGTTTTGGGAAGCAAGTCACCCATTCGGAAGGTAAGGGGTTTGGAATCGGAAGTAGAATCCGACGACGAGGGTTTTGTACTGCTACAATGTCATGTCGTTCGGCCAGAAGAATGCGGAAGCAACATACCAAAGGCTCGTTAACCAAATTTTTGCTAAACATATCGGCAGCATCATGGAAGTGTACATCGACGATATTGGAGGATTCGGGGAACTCAAGCCATCAAGCTTATTCCAGCCCCTCTCCCCTACTCAATAAGCCCATTATTGAGGAGATGTGCAATTTGGAGGAAACTGACCCAATTGAAGATGACCAAGTGTACGAGGCACTTGTGATGAAAGGTAAAAAGAAACTCATGGGTGAAGGCAGTGAAGGAAACTTATATATCTTTTCTTGGAAACGAATTTAGCCACAACATATAATATATAAACATTAATAATGGTAGATGATTATGCTTATTCTAGTTGAGCTAAGCCTTTTTCATTTTAACTTAAGTATCTTATGATCTAATTTCTTTGAGCACAAAATAGTAAAGAGAG